AAAGTGATCCCCCGCCGGAATTTGGGCTTTCTCGTAAGGAGGGTTTTGAACCAAACAACCTTTTATATGAATCGTACACCACAGAAATGAAATCCGTCGACCTAGGGGCTGTTTGGTTGGTTTCCTAAAAACCAAGAATAGGAAATTGGGTCAATGAAATCTCAAAAACATCAATTTCTTCCATTTCCATCTCTAAAACTCACCACAACATCCAATAAAATATTATTTTTATCTAACAACTCATCCACTTTATCCAATAAAATATTATTTTTATCCATTAACTCATCTCATATCATCTCCTAAAAATAAACCAAACATAAGAAATGGGTCACATCATCCAACTCATCTCATCTCATCTTTAAAAATCATCTATATCATCCAATAATACGGTGACAACTCATCTTATCTCATTAACATTTCATTTCCTCTCATTTCCTCAAAAAAACTAAGGAAATTGATTTCCTTAAGTGTGAGTCACATCATCCAATAATATAATGACAACTCATCTCATCTCATATTTCCTTAAGTGTGAGTCACATCATCCAATAATATAATGACAACTCATCTCATCTCATCTCTTATTTTTAAGAATGAACCAAACATCACATCATCCAATAATATAATGACAACTCATCTCATCTCATCTCTTATTTTTAAGAATGAACCAAACAGAAGAGAAGAACCTATTATAGGAAATATGTTTCTTATAATTCATTTCCTTATTTTTTTAACCAACCAAACAACCTCAAAATAAGTTTTCTTAAAAATTCACTCAATCATCCAATAATATGGTGACAAACTCATCTCATCTCATCTCATATTATTTGATTTCCTTCTTTTTTTAGCCAACCAAACAACCATAAAACAATTTTTTAAATAGGATTCCTATTCTTTGATTTCCTTCTTTTTTTAGCCAAACAAACAGGCCCCTAAAGACTGAGAGCCTGCAACTCTGATGAATGCCAACTGCACAAGATTTGTAGTCAAAATAATGATATCTCATAGAGGGGCACTACAGGCACACCATTAACCACACCTCCTCTCCTGCTGATATGGGTGTATCTTCTCTTCGGAACTTAGCGATCCTCATGGGAGCTTGATGATAGATAATTCTCATGATAGTATGAGAATAGAGGTATCAAACAGTACAGGGGAACGTAGGTTGGAGCGAGGAACGAGGCAGAGAATCGAAGAGTCAAAGTATCCAGATTTCAGCCTGTGAGTCGATTCATACATGTACATGAGTCGACTCATCAGGTTGAGTCGACTAACGCCTGTCATGAGTTGACTCACGAAACCAAGCCTAGTTCGTAGTTTGGCTCTGACCAGTCGACTCATCATTTTATGAGTCGACTCATCAGTCATGAGTCGACTCATATGCTGTTTTGAGTCGACTCAAGAAATCAAGCCCTGTTAGCAAAAGTTTCTGATCAGTCGACTCATCAGTTACGAGTCGACTCATATGAGGTCATGAGTCGACTCATAACTGTTCATGAGTCGACTCATCGGAGTTTTTCAGATTCGTTAAGAACTCTATTTACGTGTTTTCCTGTTTGGGTTGGGCTTGGTTATTTACCACTTTGCCACCCTCGTTTGTACACCTATATAAGGGATTGTTTTAGGGTTTAAAACAATCATAGAGTTTAATCAAGAGAGATTAGATTATAATTGAGATTTGGAGAGCTTGTTCTTCAATTCTAGAGTGAGATTGTGAGAGATTGTAAAGTGCATACTCATAATCTAGAGAAGGTATTTTTCTTCGTCCAAAACCTGAGTTATTCTTGTGTTCTTATTATTTTCTCCTCAACCCACCTTTGATAATTCCGCGATCAAAGGTGCTCACACGACAACTCGTATCAAGTTGGTATCAGAGCGATCAGATCCTACGAAGGGGGCATCCTGTGTATGGTCCTGACTCGATCGCAATACAAGAAGCTAGGCGAGGTCCTTATTTTATTAGAAGAGGTCCAGAAGATAAGGAGAGAGAAGATGTCTGAAATAGATAACTCAGCAAGACTTGACGCTATGGAGAAGCAGATAGAGACGATCAGGACTACTCTTACTCGGCTCGTGGGTCTCATCAATGGAGGGGACAAAAAGGAGGAATCTTCTTCGAAGGGTAAGAAGAAACTTGTTGAGTCCGATGAAGAACGTGAAAAATCAGATTCGGAAGAAGAGGCCGAGGTTGTTAAGTCTGCTTCACATACAAGGGGTAAGAATTATTACCAAAACTTGAAGATTGATTTCAAAGTAGAGATTCTTGTTTACGATGGGAGTGTCAATGTGGAGAAGCTCGATGATTGGATTGAGCGTATGGAGATGTACTTCACTCTCTACGGATATTCATCCAAGGAGAAGATCGTGTTCGCGACGTTGAAGCTTTCGGGGCACGCGTTGACGTGGTGGAAGTCCTATTGCAAATAGGAAAAGAAGGTGGTGTCGTGGAACAAATTCAAGGAGCTACTAAGGAAGCAATTCTATCCTGTGGGGTTCCTCGAAGAGCGTTGGTACAAGTGGTACGGCTTACGTCAAAGATTCAATCAGACCGTTCAAGAGTATACGACGAAGTTCCAACAGCAGGCGATGGTTCTAAACATTGCAACGGATGAATACTCCATTTTTATGAGATACATGGCGGGTCTAAATGATTATATCTGGAAGGAGATAAAGCTATTCATGGTCGAGACGATTGCAGAGGCGAGCGTGAAGGCAATTGTCATTGAGGGTAAACAGAAGAAGGGCAATGAAACGAAGGGTGATTCCAAACAGTCGGAAGGTAAGTCTAGTGGCTCTCAACATAAGGAAGAGAAGAAGAAGGGTGATTCGGGGAAGGAAGGATTGACATACAATCACTGCAAGAAGGCAGGACACGTGGCTGATCGTTGCTGGGAGAAGTACCCTTATCTGAAGCCAAAAGGGTTAAATAGGAAAGAGGAGAAGAAAGCATACGTGATAGCACAGGGTCCGAAGGGGGTCCCCGGGATGACAGAGCCCAACAACAGCCTTAACCTTATGATGGGGAAACGGGCCGCAAAAGAAGACGACGACCCGAGGGAGCAGCTCTTTGTTTTGAAGTTGCAGGTCAAGACCAGCTTAGTGGATGCCATTGTAGATACTGGGAGTCAAAAGAATCTGATATCTGAAGCATTAGTACAGAAGCTGGGATTGAAGACGGTGAAGCATCCGAAGCCCTATCCATTAGGGAGGATTCAGAAGGAAGCGGGATTGAGTGTGGTGAACCAGTGTACGTTCAGATTTGCACTCCATGAGTCATATATTGACGAGGTCACATGCGACATGGTTCCGTTGCATGTTTGCTAAGTTATTTTAGGCAATCCTTACTTGTGGGATAGACACGCGGTATATGATCGGCGGGCCCAAAAATATATATTCACCAAGGATGGCGCGCAATTCATTTTTTGTTTGGCATCTCTTCCGTAGGAGACGAGTTAGTGATGGTGACTCAGGCTAAGAGGTTGGTGAATACGGGAAGGAAGTTTGTTTTGTTGTTCATACGGTCTTATAAAGAGCAGCTGAGTAGGATATGCTTGTCCACCTTGAGCAAACTTCAGGAGGGAGATCTTGACAGTTTGAAGGCTAAGTATGCGGACTTGTTTTCAAAAATCACGGGACTACCACCATGGCGAGGTGTAGAGCATGAGATTATGTTGACCAGCGAGAGTTCCTTGCCAAACATAGGCCTATACCGCATCTCAGTACAAGAGTCCGAAGAGATCAAGAAACAGGTTCAGGAGTTCTTAGAGACGGGAGTGATAGTGCCGAGTTGTTCACCTTGCGGGTCGCCGATGTTATTGGTGCCCAAAAAGGATGGAGGCTGGTACATGTGTGTGGATTACCGGGTGCTCAACAAGATAACGATCAAGAATCGTTACCCACTACCACGGATCGATGATCTTATGGACCAGTTAGAGGGAGCGAGGTTCTTCACGAAGTTAGATTTGAAGTCTGGCTATCATCAGGTAAGGATTCGGGAGGAAGACACTTGGAAGACAGCGTTCAAGACCAAACAGGGCATGTTCGAGTGGTTAGTGATGTCGTTTGGGTTATGCAATGCTCCAGCGACTTTTATGAGGCTCGTGAATAATTTGTTGCGACCTTTCATAGAGGATTTTATGATTGTGTACCTTGATGATCGATATTTTGGTATACAGCAGGACTTGGGAGGAGTATCTTGTTCATGTGGAGAAGGTGTTTAGAGTGTTGTAGGACGGACAACTGAAGCTCAACGGGAAGAAGTGTGAGTTTGGGAAGGACGAGTTGGTGTATCTCAGCTTCATCGTGGGGAAGGGCTAGAGGAGGATAGATCCGGGTAAGGTGACGGTGATCACGAAGTGGCCGACACTGAAGACAGTAACTGAGGTGAGAAGCTTCATGGGGGCTTGCCAGTATTTGCGCAAGTTTATTCGATATTTTTCGACTTATGCGGTACCGTTACATGGCCTCACAAAGTCTAAGGTTCAGTTTGAGTGGAGAAAGACGCATGAGGAGGCTTTTCAGTTGCTAAAAAGGAAGATCTTAGAGGCACCGGTGTTAGCTTTGCCGAATTTGCAGCGGACTTTCGAGGTGGAGACTGACGCGTCTAGTTATGCAATGAGCGCGGTGTTAATTCAGGATGGGAAGCCAGTGGAATACCATTCTGAGATGTTTACGGGTGCTATTGCGAACTACCCGACCTATGACAAGGAGTTCTATGCACTTTATCAGGCGATTAAGCATTGGAGGGTGTACTTATTGGGGAAGGAGGTGGTTGTGCACTCGGATCACAAGCCGTTGGAGTTCTTACATGCCCAGACGAAGCTACAGCAGGCGCGACAGATGAAGTGGATATCTTATTTTATGGCTTTCAACATCATTATTAGGTACAAGAAGGGGGCGACAAACAAGTTGGCCGATATGTTATCTCGTCCGCCGGTAAGGGCTTTATTGGTGGCGACGCGTATTCAGCCCTTGGTTCCTTTGGAGTATGTACAGCTGTACGCATCCAGTAGAGACTTTGGTAGTGTGTTTGAGCAGGCGTTCGGTAGTGTGTTTGAGCAGGCGAATGTTGGTCAAAGGAGGGAGTATGCACTTGGAGAAGATGGCTTTTTGTATCGTGGGACATCATTATGCATTCCGGAGGAGGGTGATAGGTTACAATGGATTAGGGAAGAACATACCTCGCGTGTGTAAGGGCATTTTGGAATTCAGAAGACGCTTCTTAATCTACGGCGACATGTGTTTTGGCCACGGATGCTTGATGATGTGACCAAGTATGTTGGAGGGTGTAAGTTATGTTGTATTTCGAAGCCTTCTAACAGGAAGAGGGGATTGTACCTACCACTACCGATTCCTTCTAGGCAGTGGGAGAGCATATCTATGGATGTTCTAGGAGGGTTGCCGACTACCAAGCACGGGCATGACTATTTGTACGTTGTGGTGGACCGGTTCAGTAAGATGATGATTTTGATTCCTTGTAAGAAGATCGTGACGGGAGCGGGTAAAGCACAGTTGTTCTTCGAGCATGTGTGGAAGCATTTTGGGTTGCCGAGTTCGATTATTTCGGATCGGGACAGCCGGTTTCTTGGGTATTTTTAGGATTCTTTGTGGAGTTTGATGGATACTAAATTGAAGAAGAGCACGGCCTTTCATCCACAAACAGACGGAAAAACGGAGGTAGTCAACCGGACTATGGTGCATATGTTGCGGGGGTATAATTTCAGATGTCCCAAGACTTGGGATGAGAGCTTACCATATTTGTAGTTTGTTTTTAATCGGGCGATTCATGGATCTTCGGGAAAGTCACTGTTTGAGACTTGTAATGGATTCTTACCGTTGAGTCCGTTTGATCTCGTGTTTTCGAGTGAAGCTATGATGGACGACAAGGAGAGGAATGAAAGACAACATGCTCAGTGATTTCTGGAGAAGATTGCGCATATTCATGCCTCGGTTGAAGCACAATTGAAGAAGTCACAAGCAAGGTACAAGACGAAGCATGATCAACACCGGGTTCCTTGTAACTTTGGCGTGGGCGATATGGTGTGGCTGAAATTGAGTAAGGAGAGGCTAAAGAGAGAAGGGAAATAGTTGAAACCGATACGTTATGGTCCATTTCGGATTCTCGATCAGATTGGCGACAACGTTTTCAAGCTCGATTTACCACCTTACTTAGGCATGTATTCGGAGATCAATGCCGAGTACTTGAAGTTGTTTGAGCTTCCATTGCTGGATGATGAAGGTGATGACAAGGTGATCTTGTCATATGTTGAAGACTTGTGGTTTGATAGAGAGGAGCCACTGAAGGAAGATTGCATTTTGGAGCGAAAGACGACCACGATGAGACGGAGGATGATGGAGTCGTTTCTCATTGGACGTCAAGGTCAAATTCCTAGCAAGGCTAAGTGGTTCAACAAGGAAGGAGGAGCTCGCGAGTTTCCTCAACTGAAGTTCTAACTTGAACGGGACTTTAAGTTCCTAAAGGGGGGATCCATGATACGGGTGTATCTTCTCTTCGGAACTTAGCGATCCTCATAGGAGCTTGAGGATAGATGATTCTTATAATAGCATGAGAATAGAGGTGTCAAATAGTACATGGGAACGCAGGTTGGAGCGAGGAACGAGGCAGAGAATCGAAGAGTCAAAGTTGTTCGCTGGAAAATTCGTGTCTTTCTTTGTTATTGATTCCATTGTCATCTTGAGTTACAACTTTTTGAGTTACAAAAGATCCGGTCTTTTTATAAGATCCGGTTACAACGAAAATCAAATAAAAATAAACAAAGATTACAACTTTTCTCCTTTTGTGTCGAACGAATCGCGAGCTCCTGTTTTGCGGTCGCTCGCTTGGTGGGTTCTTTGCCTGCGCCGGGGTTGTTTGCCGTGGACCACCGCGAGATCTAGATCCGGTCGGATCTACGCAGTACGACGGATATTATTTCACCAAGGAAATAATAGCCGGGGAGGATTGTTTCACCAAGGAAACAATCGTCCAAGTCTCGGGATCTAAGACCAAGCTTAGATCCGGAGTATGCCTGCGTAGATCTGAGATCTGATCCTCTCGAACACCTGCCTTATTTGACGTTGATGATCGCCGAGCACCAGATCTGAAGGAGTGAGTCCCCGAAGTCCCAAAGTTTTAATCTTTTTTAAGTTCCGAGTCTCCAATCCAGCAGGGCTTCGCCTCTCTCCAAAATTTCCAACCTTTTGAAATGAAGAACCCCTTGGCCTATTTATAGGCTCTCGTTACTGTGCCCGTGCCCGTGTGCACGTGTGGCCAGCTCAAGGTGGCCGGCCACCTCAAGGTGGCTCGGCTCATGCCGAGCCACCCTGAGGTGGCTCGGCCACCCCAAGGGGTGGCTCGGCCTTGGC